AACTGCCCTGGGAATATCTGTATCTTCTCATAATTAGAATGAATAGTAAGAAATAATTCCTCACTGCTAACATTCATGAAAAACTTGCAAAGTATGAGTCTCTTGTATGCAACTAAACTGTTCATTTGATGTAAAGTTGCATTGCATCTGAGATTGGAGCTGATTTTTCTCCACTGCCATTGGACATGCTTAGTTTAAGTCTCAAACGTTTTAGCTTAAAAACACATAAACTTGATACATTTACTTAGAAAAGTCTGGCTGCTGCCTTGCAACACATTTCACTCGGTTTATTTTTAAAACTTAAACTTCCCCAATATGAATAGCAGAAGTAGGTGCAAGCACTGGAATGCTGCAGCCACAAAAACAAGTCATTTCTTCATTCAAGTGGAGGGGGGGTTCTATTCCCAGCCAGCCCCTGAGGATACATCTACACAACCAGCAGCAGCCCATGGCAGCAAGCCTCCCAATCCAACTCGACAGACTCGGGCTCCTGCTACAGCATTAACAACAGCTGTAAGAGACCGTGCTTTTATGTTGCACCTCGGGCTGGCGTTCAGGCTCTGAAGCCTAGAGATGGGGCTGGACTTCAGCTTCGGAGCTCCAGCCCAAGCCTCAATGTCTACACAGCTCTTTTCAGCACCGTAGCGTGAGCCCGCGTCCGTCGCCCTGGGCTCAGGGGTTCACTGCTGTGGACAGTGTAGACAGCATACCCTGAATTATCTGAGCCCATGTGGCTGCTCTGCCTTTAAGACTCCAACAGCTGCGATAACATTAAGAAAAGACCAAACTGTTGACATGTGAGAGTGTGGGTTTGCTGAATGACCCAGGCTTGGCCCAGTGATCTTATCAACTCCTCTCTGAGCAATAAGTCCGGAACAGTGTGCACCGAAACAGTTGACAGAGAAGTGTTTAGCTGTGTAACAGGCCACAGGTTGCAGGGAGAGTGACTGGAGGAAGAGTCAACCAGGGGTATGTCTGTGTTGCAGTCCTGGAGTGTGATTGCAGCTCAGTTTTAGTCTAGCTAGCTTGGGTTCTGGAGGCACGGCATGCCATGGCTTCACGGCTGGATTCCAGCTTGGGCATGTTTGCCCGAGCTGCCATCACACCTTGTGGCTGTGGATATACCCTAAGAGATTGGTCCTTTTGGTTCCCGCTGCTAAAGCTGTTTTTGCAGGGTTATGACACACTGGAAATATCTGTATGACCGTGTAGAAATCTTATCTCTGACTTGATTGCCTCATTCAGGTTTATACTGCTGCCTGACCAGTTGCATAGAGTTAAATCAAAACAGACTGTAAAGGGGGGTTGTTAAGGAACCCAGGAACAGTAAAACAATGACACAGATAAGACAGTCTCTGAGGTGCCCACTTAAAGGCGTTAAGACAACAAGGGCTTGGCCATCCGTTGGGGAAAGAAGCGGGAAGCATCCAGCCTAAGATGGATGCCGGAACCATCCAGCTTAAGGTATTTTTCTCTTCCCAGGGCTGACTGAGTTCAAAAGACCCTCAGGGGTTAAAAAGCTGCCCTGGCAGAAAGGGAGGGAGGGGGAATACGGTCAGCTCAGCTGGCAGGGATACAGCGTCAGCGAGGCTGACAGACCAACTGTCCTGAGAGCCAGGGTCTGCAGCCAGCTAGCTGTAACGTGGTACCCGGAGAGAATAGGGGACACATAGGCTTAGTCGTGTCTACCTCAGGACTGGATGGGGAGTGCCAAGCATAGGTAAAACAATATGCGTGTAGGTCTCTCTGTTATTTTTTAAATCTACTCTCAGCTCTGTGTACTGTTTGGGCAAATAAATCATATTTTGATTTAGAGAAATGGCTTCGGTGTCACTGCATAGTGTTACGGACCACTGGCTCCCAAAGGAGAACTCTGGCAGGGTTACGCCCACCGTCCACAGGGAGCTGCTCGGTATCATGGTATACCAGGGAGGTATAACTCAGAGAGCCAGTCAGAAAGTGGTTGGATTGCACTTCAGACTCCTGCCCCAAGGAGGTGTGGAGGAACAGGCCTGTCACTTGGAAGGGGTGCACTCTGGGGACTGGAAAAGGCTCTCAGAAGGAGGAGCAGCCTACCTAGGTACTGTGACAAGAGGAGGGTCTGGAACTGCACAACAGCCCCTTCTGGGCCATCACTCCAGCCCAGGTGTGGGGATCCACATTAGCTGGTGGACTGGCTCACCACAAATTTCCCCTCCGCACTGGCTTGTGTAGAGCTGGCATGAAGTCCTGGCCCACCCTGTGCAGAGTACCCTGCCTACTCCTAAGAAGCCTTTCCCACCCACCCCTCATACACATGGAAGTGCAGCGGTCCCTGCAAGGTGGGGGCCTGCCATGGTGCGAGTACTGCTGAGTGAATTCTCCGTAAGTGTGTGTAACTTCCCAGGTGCCCTTGGCCAGCTGAGATGACCAGCTGGGTTCTGCCAGCACGTAATCACCAGGTGTCAGTATTTCTGTGAGTAACATGTTATCTGCATGCATAGCTGGGATATTTGGCCTAGTAGTTTCCTCCAGCACTTCTTCTGGATCTGAGCATCAGGCCTGTCTGTCAAACTGCTCCATCCAGCTGAGTCTGTGTTGCCTGCATTTCCCCCATTCTTTGGGAACCCTAACATTTCCCATGTGTTGTTCAAACATGCCCACAATAACTTACGTTTGGGCCGGAGGAGAGGAGCACTCTGCAGCCCAGTCTTTCAGGTAGCCCTCAGGCCCAGGTGTAGTGCAGCCATTCTCTACGTGGCCTATTGACTAGGATGCTATTCTGAGACTGAACAGACCTGACTTCAAATCCCTGCTGTGCCACAGCCCCTCTGTGTGACCTTGGACAAGTCACTTAGGCCCAGATCCTCAAAGGTATTTAGGTTCCTAATTTCCATTGAAATCCTGAATACCATTGAGGATCTAGGCTTTAGTCTCTCTCTCTCTTTTTTTGAAGATATACCGATCTCATAGCGCTGGACAGGACCCTGAAAGGTCATCGAGTCCGGCCCCCTACCTTCACTAGCAGGACCAAGTACTGATTTTGCCCTCCCTAAGTGGCCCTCTCAAGGATTGAACTCACAACCCTGGGTTTAGCAGGCCAATGCTCAAACCACTGAGCTATCCCTCCTTCTCCCCACCTCAGTTCCTCCTCTGTAAAATGGGGATAATAGTGCTTTCCTAGATATGGGATGCTTGTAAGGATAAATACATTAAAGATATGACAGTAATAAGGGTGATATACATACTTAAGATAGCTAGAGTTGATGTCTCTTATATTATGATGTGTGATGGGACACCCATGTTGCTAGCTAGACCCTGCAAGAATTTCATTTGAATATTGGGACACCCTGCAATGAATCTGTTTCTATGGTGATTCACTGTATGTTCTTGCTTTAGAATTTCATCTCCTCTTGTGGCAGGAAGAGGAAAGGCATGAGCAGTTATAAATAACCATCACACAGCCAGGCTGACTGGATTTGTCATGTGAGAGTCTGGGGGCACGTGAATGTCGCAGCGGATGGTGCAGTGGGAAGTTATTCTGTCTACATGGAACACTTCACGTTTCTGTTCCTTTAACCACATTTAACTGATGTGAGCCCATTTTTTGTGACTGCTCAGCATTTTTATCATATCTTTCAAATGACACCACCGATGAATGGATGGAAAAATACCTATTAGCTGAGTGAGTCAATTCCCCTTGAAGGAAAGGATACAGTCTCCTGATAGAGGCCCTATCTGATAGTAAACTGATACTAAGCTTGATTTTAATGCAAAAGCTTCTTTTTAATAATTCATCATCAACAACCAGAATATTAAATGACTTTTTACCTGAAAAGGAATCTGGGCTGCTGGTCAATAAAAACAACAGAACACGGGTCACTTCCTGTGCCCCTCACATATGGAAGCAATCCCATTAACTCATGTATCAATTACGTGTATGACTAAGATTTTGTTAGCCAGCAGCCCCTGTTATTAACCAGTGCATACAATGGCTACAACCACGCACATCACACAACAATATGGGCCTCAGATATTTTATTGTACAAGGCTGGTCTTCATAAAATATTTCTGAACGTACAAATAATCATGACAAACGGAAGAGTTTTTATGAATGTTTAGTTGTTTTGGGCAGGGGAATAACAGCCCTTCCCAAGTCTCAGTGATGAGTGTAGGACCAATTGGTAGATTGATTAAAAAGAAATGACCAAGTTCTTCCTGAAGGAGAGTAAAAGTCATTATGCTGAGTAGAAATCACATGCATTTCAAGGGGACGGTGGGTTGCAGAGAGACCATGGCTGGGTCAGGATTATAAATGCAAAAATATGTGGTCCGTGCCTCAAAAATTGTTCCCTAGAATTGCCCCTTTGTGGTTATATTATGGAGATGCTGCAGGTTATGTGGGGAGCCACAAAAGGGGCAGGAAATTCCCACCCAGTGCTGCAGTTGTGTTCATCCATGGCAATTTTGATAGCTGCAAATAGTCAGTCCCTAAGTATTAATCCCGGTATATCACAGCTGTGCAGCTATGTGACTACGTAGTGAAAGACCCCTTTCCTAATGCAATTGCAAAAGAGGGTAGACCTAGGGTGACCGTGGCAACCTGAACTCTGAATGTCCTAGCATCTCTGGATATTAAATTTCAGCTGTAATGTAGCATTTCTTTAGAGCCTGGGTATGTTTTGCTCTACATGGCAGTGCAGGGGAGCAAGGAAGCATAAGGGGATTCCTTGCGTTGCCTCCTCACTTTGCCATTCTGCATACGGAAAGGGCAGCTCCATGGGGTTAAAGAAGCAGGGAAGGAGCAGAAACTTGCCTCCAGCCCACACACCCATCCCAACCCCATGTACCAGCCAGCGCAGTGGAGCCCACACAGAGTGGAAAGTACTCTGCTACTGGCATAAGCCTGGAAGACTTAATTTACCAGCTGAAGCCAGGGGAGAAGCAGGGAAGCAATTGTAGCTCCAAGAGTCACAATTTCTTTGCTGGGGTAGCACTGCTACATGCCACCCATTGTTCTATGCTAGCCAGAAAGTGACAGCCTAGCCCTTCATTTTTTGCAATAATTGGATGCTGGGAAAGAGATTCTATTTGATGTAGCTGTATCAAATTATATTCTGGCCAAGAAACTAAACCATAGACAATCTGCTGCTGTTAACTGGGATGAGTTTATGATCTAGCATTACTCTGAATTTGTCTTTCACTGTTTTTAACACCTCCTCATCTGTAAGTGTTGTGGTTTCCACCAGATCCATGTTCTCCTTGTAATTGTATTTAACCTTGGTGAGTTTCCACCCAACTAAAGCCCAAAGGCCATCACTGGTCTGGAGGCTGCAGATGGACTTTTTAACGAACAGAGAATCTGGAGATGTCTGGAGATACACACTCTGGGGCCTGAAATCTTCTATCTCTCGTGGCTCAAGGGTAAACAGGTAAACTTTCTTACATGCATTTTTTTCCAGATTATTGGAATTAGAGAAGCTTTGGTTGGGATTGTATTGCTTCCTTTTGATTTTCTCAAAGTACCAGATCCCATTGTCTTCCATGAAGCGAAAGATGCCGGGAACCTGGGGCTGGTCTTTCCCAGAAATCAGCTCCATTGGCTGCCACATTTGATAGACCATTCCAAAGCCGCCGTCCACTATGTAGGCTTTCCCATCCAGGACCACCTTTAGCAGAAGGTGATTAATATGATGATTATATGCATTTTCTTCTGGGCTGTAAACTTTTGCTCCTATAATGGTGGTATCATATCCCAGCGTTTTCAGAACCCAATATAAAAGATGGTTGTTTTCCATGCACCAGCCACCACGTTTCTTCTTCACTATTTTGTCATAAACTGGTTCTAAGTCTAACTCGATGGTTTCCCCGCAGTGGATGCTGAGGTTTTCAAAAGGAACAGCCCTGATGTGGTGCTGGAATATTGCAGTCAAGGTCTCCAAATCCGGATTTTTGTAGGAGCCATTATAAGAAATTCTGGTGAAATATTCCGTGATGTTCATGTTACCTGTATGGTGAGTAAAAGAACAATTGTGTGTGTCTGAAATGCTTGGATGAGTGTCACCATCCGTCATAGGAGCAGAATGTCTTTACACCCTGATTGTTTAAAATGACTAAGCCCCTTACAGAAGACAAGGAGACGAGTTTGTTTGTTTTACCTTTGTGCCTAGTGACTTCAGGTGTGCTAGGCACACTACATACACATTTTAAGAGGTACTTCCTGTCCAGAAGAGCTTACTATCTAAATAGACCAGTCAGACAAAGGAAGTGATATTGTTCCCATTTTTCAGGTGGGATATTGAGTCAGGGAGACAACTGTGGCCCACATTATCAAAGATATTTAGGTGCCTACCTCAGGGGGAGTTAGATGCCTAAATACCTTTGAGGATCTGGGTTTAAAGGACGCACTCAAGGTCATAGTGGGAGCCAGAAACCACACCCAGCGCTCCTGAGCCCTGATCTAGTTCTTTAACTGCAAGGCCAGCCTTCTAGGCACTGCTTGGTTAAATATTTCCTGTGCTATTCATGCTGGTTGGCAGAGGGCACTCATCCCACTGTCTTCTGCTCTTACTGCTGACAGGAGCTAGAAGCAGATTCGCACTCCTGGTGCTGTGGCCTTTCAGTGAGCCTGGCAGCTCCATTCTCCTCTCATTAGCAGGGGTGAATGGGAGGGGCTCGTTTTCTGCCTCTTACTCACCACCATCCCTGGTGGCTCAGCTCCCCAGCTTTGTGCCTCACTGGTCTAAGTGAGGTGTTAGGAGCAGGAAGGAGACGCTCACTTTCCAAAAGAAGGAAATCAAGGACCGTGACAGAGCATCATCTCCACCGCGGCTTTTCCCCTCCACTACATAATGTGAGATACAGCAGGGAGGATGGGTTGCCCTTATTCTCCCTTCTCACTGTTCCTTCCCACAATCTTCAGAGGCAACCAGCAGGCCCTGTGCCTGGAAGTCAATTGTCAGGAATGGGCAAGTAGATCTACAGCCCCTTTACCTGACAGCAGCAGGACCTGGCTCTCTCCGTCTGCACCGTTGTTCCTGCTTTTTAGAAACCCTGGGGCTTGAGAGGGAGCCCCAAATGCACTGGGATTAGGGAATGCGCCACCCATCAATTCAACGCACTCTGGGGTCTCCCAAACTTCAGTGTACAAAGGGCCGTGTGGCCAGCAATGAGACCAGGTTCTCCTTCCCACTGCTGGGGGAATGAAAGACAAGCCAGCCAGCAACCACTGCAGATCAGATCAAGGTGCGCAGGCTAGCTGGCTGTTCCCAGAATATAATGTCCCGGGTGGGCAGAGATCACTACTCAAGATCACAGCTCATGGTAAGCAATGCAGGAAAGAAGCCAGGACCTGGTGGAGAAAACCCAGGGGATTGGTGGCCCTTTGGGGAGGGAACAGGGATTTTGATATGGACAAATAGGCTAATAGTTATACCCAGAGGCTCAAAGAGTTAAAACCACCAAACATCAGCCTACTCTGAGGATCAGATTCAGAATGACTGGTCAGAGCACAGATGATTGATCTGAGAGGCCTCAAACATTCTCAGGTGCCTTCTGTGCCTTAAGATAAAGGTGTCCTAAACCCAAGGGATAAAAATCCCATTGCGCTGCTCTCTAGGTAGACTTCCTCCTATGATTCATGTATTTAAAACTTCCTACACTAAGGATATAAGAAGTATTCAATCTGGATAAAGTTATCAGTATGCAGTACTGAAAAACCCCATCATATGAAAGAAATGGGGGAAATACCCCAAATATAAAACAGTATTGCTCCCAATTAGAACAATATGCAGGCAGGATCAGAAATGTCCCCAACTGGTGCTGTTCAGAATGTATAGAAATGTAAATTGTAGCTATCCCAGTATCGTCAACCCCAAAGGTTCAAATGTCAGGCCCCCCAAAATCACACGATTGGCTTAAAAATCATGAGATTTTAAAAAATAATACATTTGGGTTCCTTTTCTTTACGTTCTGGAACTGGCGCATTTAGGGGTTACATTTTCAAGCTTTTCACAGCAACCAGGAGGTCTAGAAAAAAAAATTTTTTTTTTAAATGAGATCTGAGATTCTCAAGTAATAACCTGATTCCAGCTTTGAAATTGTTAAGAAAACCACCAAATATCACAAGAGTTGTCAACACTGCTATCCAACTTCACTTCCTTTTGTTACTTTTCTGGTAGAAGTAAAAACAGTGTTTTAAATGATTTTTCCTCTTTAAGGGAAATCTTACTGTGTTGTTACTACTCTAATTTTAAATGTATTGAAAGTATGTTGGCTTTGAAAACAAAATAAAATGTATTATTGCTTACATCTATCAGAACCAGGCATAACATCAGAAGTGTTTGAATCTGTCCATCTGTCATGGTTATTTCTGGGTCACCTTTCACACTGGCATCTGAACCAAGTCAGATGATGTGAATGTGTATTCTGGCTGGGCTGATAATTGAGAGAATAAGCCAGTAAGTCTGTTACACTGACACAAGAGAAGTCAAGTCTGAAATTGGCTGCAGATTCCCTCTCAGTTCTTATGCAGTGTAGCCGTTTCCTGCAATGTTTGTTCATAGGCCAGATCTGAATGCACATTTATGACCAAGTCAGCCACAAAGATTCTGGGTTTAAAAGGTGTCTTACCTGTAAAAACAGTTCAACCACAAGTGTATCAGTTTTCACTCTCTTGCTTCTTTAGGCACTAAACCGTCTGGCCCGGTTTTCAGTCCTTTATGCAGTGAAGAACTTGGGAACAGACAACAGTTCTCCAGCTTCTCTTGAGAGAAATTCCTTCTTTCATCACGTCACTTTCACTCTCTTCTGTAACTGACCAATGCCAGAGGAGGGAGGAGTTCAGCTGTAGTGAGCTAGCAAATTTTAGTTGCACTGACGTAATGAGGATTCTAACTCTACTCGTTAGAACACACACTGCTTTGTCTTTTTCAGTGGCTAAATCTACTGGTTGGCTGTCGGGGACAGGGAGAGTTATTTGTTTCAATAACATTATAATATCGGAGGATGGTACTTTTTTCAGGATATTAGGCAGCTAAGTGTTGGTCAGGAATTTAGGGCTGAAAGTTCATGAACAGTTGATCTGAGAAGATTTTCACTATTTGATATGTCACAAGAATGACAAGATTCTAGCACTGTTGAACACAAACACAAACCCTAGTCCTGATTGGGCAGCAAACCCAAGTTCTTGTATTGTAGCTGTTGTCAGACGCCACCGGTGTGGTGCTCTGCTCTGTCCAATGTTGGTAACTGTCGGCTGCGTGCATGTGTTCCCTCTGTGTGCTGCCCCGGCTCTGCGCAGATCGCTGACACAGCAGACCCCAAGAGAACCCCCAATAACCACAGACTCCGATAAGGCACGAAGGCACCCAGCCAGGTTTATTGTCAAACGAAACACAGTCTCTAGCTCCCCGGATCAGATGTCTACAGTTCTGCTAGTACATATGTGTTCCCTGACAATGGACCGGCTCAGTCAGTGACGGGACACTCCACTGCCCCCTAGGCTGGACAAAGACACTGCTCCAGGGATGCATTCTTATACACAGGTACAAACAAGTTACACATCATTCCTGACGTATTGAGGTGCAACCCCTCCATGCAGTAAGGTGCCGCCTCTCACCTTGTTCATGTTGGTTAGAACAAAACAACTCCATCCATCATAGTACCCTTTTGCCCCTGTCTTCAGGATGGGTTCGCCTGTTCTTTGTTATCTGTGTGTGTAATGTGCAAGTATCGGAGTGTTCTGGTATCATCCTGGCATATGTTTGTATCTTTAGTGTCCAGTACCTTTTAGGTAAATGTATTTTGAACCATCAGCCCTTTTGTTGCCAGCTTCTGCAAGCAGGGCCTGCCTCTGGCTCATAGCTTAACTTTGCTTTATGACAGCAAAGTCTTGACCATTACTTTAGTTCAGGCCTTAGGCCTCATACCGGGCCTCTGATAAGGGTTTATGTTTCAGGGCCTCATCTTACTACAGTAGTTTAGTGTCTAATTTGTTATCCTTTGTCTCTGCTGCATTTCTTTGTGGATTACAGTAGATTTTGTAGAATGTAGAATGTGTCTTCTTGGATGTTTGAACTGTGTCAAGCGTTACAGGACTCTAACAGTGACTGGAGCCTCTGGATGCTACATAAGAATTAAAGAATAACTACTGCTATGTAGCATTCCCCCCATCACGGAGTATAACTCATATTGCTTTCCACCTAAGGATTAGTGTGAATTTTTCTAAGCTAAATCTCATTTTGCTATTTTCCTCCCAAGCCTCAACTATTTCTAGATTCTTTTGTATTAATTCTCTGTGCTCAGCGACATCCTAATTTAATATCAACAAAACATTTCACTAAACTGCTGATTGTGCAGATAAATAAGTTCAAGCACAGATCTCTATGGTAACCCACTGCACAACCTGTCCCCCATCTCAATACTTTGCTCTTTGTCATTGCCATCTGTGGATGGTCTTTCACCCCATGTGGCTGTGCTCAGGTCCAAGCCACGTTATTGTCAAGGGAACAGGTTGCCTGACATAGGCAGACATCCCCTGGGAAGCTCCATGTTTGTAAACAGACAAAGATAATTGTCCGGATTGCAACACTTATCAGATTTCACTGTCCAGGTTAGATCCTGTCGTACTTAGAGTCAGAACCCAGTGTTTTACGGGAGAGCAAGCCAAACCCCAAGCAATCAGACAGCAGTGTCCGCTAAGCATTCTTCTGCTTTTTAAAATCTCGCTGCGAATTTCCCCATTTGGGGTGTTGTAGGAAAGTGAGGGACTAATAGCACTAACTAGAGACAAGCTCACTGTAAGTACTGACAGTCCGACACCTACAGGAACCCATTTCCCACAACACAGCCTTAAACTGCTTCTTCCTTGCAGAACATTCTTGATTTCAGGGGAGATCTCTGCCCCTCCTCACACATTTCCCCTTCCATCCCTCCCCTCTCCCTGAGCCTTATCCAAAGCCTAGTGAACTTAGTGGGTCTTTCCACTGATTTCAATGGGCATTGGATCATGCCCTGAAAGAACCTGCTTCCCAGTGATCTTCCAGCTCAGCGGGAAAGTCTGACCATGGCTCTCATCAGCAGCGTCCCTTCAGTCAGCGACAAAGTGTCATTTGGGAGCAGCGCAAGGTGCTTGCTCCATCCCCCAGGTCAGAACCCACTGGCTCTGCAGGGCTGGGAAGAGGCTCAGGAATGGGTTCAAGAGGTGCATGCTGAGCCCTCGTACAGCAGCTGAGCTCCGGGGCAGCAGGCCCACTGCTGGTGTGGTGGGGACTATTCTTTCACAGGGTAACCCACACACACACTCAGCGTTGCGCTCTGTCCCTCTCTAGCAGTGGCTTGGCCTGAGAGCGATGAGCCTGCTGCAGCACTGGCTTACAGAGCGAGGTCTTCTAGCTCAAGCAGTAGAGGTTTATGCAAAGAACCAGAGGTGCCCAGGTTTGAGTCCTTCTGCTGATGGCCCCGCTGGGACCAGGTCATTACACAGGCTAAGTATAACAGACTCACCACTCTGAAGTGACCAGAGCGCCCTCTGATTCCTTACTAAGGATGATTGCAGAGTCCAGTCCTGCATTCCTTGAATGCCTGAAACTTCTATTGCCATCCGAGCAGTTTGGGTGGATGAGGCAGAGCGGGTCTGTGGCAGCCCCCATGAAGGCATTAGGATTCAGTCACCCCTTGGGGGGCTAAAATGACAGCAAGCACCCCTGGCTCAATGCAGAAGGATACAGCTGAGTCTTATGAGTCCAAAGCAGTCCAAGTTCAGACTTTGTTACTGCCATGTGTGTCCTAGTGAAGGTCTTCTCAGCCCAAGATCCAGGCAGAGTGCTCTCCTGCCTGGGATTTCAAACTGACGTGCAGTTTGGGGGAATGAAAGCGCAATCACTATTCTTAACAACCTGGCATTATAGAGACCATGAAACTGTTCTATACATTGATATTTGTATTCACATGAAATTGTACAGCTCTAGCTATTTATACAGATACATTTAATAAATGGGCAATTGCAAATCTTTGTTACGTTAAATTTCTCCAATTTCTCTTATTGGGGATAGGCAGGTGATCTGGTGTTTCTCTGACCACAGAGAACTCATTATTAACCACATTTTCCTGTATTTCAGGCTGAATAAACATGTTGTTTTAGATGCATTCACATTAACTAGGTCTGATTGTAATCATTCTTTGCATTCTTAAGAATTTGCAAGCCTGTTTTCAATAAATTATAGGGTTGGTCACGTTATTACATCCATCAGCATTTTAATTCATTCTCTTACTGATTTTAATAATCGAATTCTGAATACTGTGTGATTAAAATGTTCTCTAGCAGCAATATATTCTTCTGTTACTGCTGGTAATCTTAATGGTCACTAGATGTCACTATAATTTTACTTGGTCTTCAAACGTAACAAACTGATGAAATTCTCATGCACTCTGATAGGCTTATGTTAAAGGCCCTGTAAAAAAAACATTATTAGTGATCAGAAAACTATTCCAAATACAAAGCTTACAGAAAAGAAAGTTGTCTGTAGTGGTGTTGTAGCCATGTTGGTCCCAGCATATTAGAGGGAGGTGAGATAATATCTTTATTGAACCAACTTCTGTTGGTGAAACAGACAAGCTTTCCAGCTACACAGCGCTTTTCTTCAGGTCTGGCAAAGGAACTCAGACCTAAACACTTGCCTTTGATTGAGCTATTACCAGTAGTTTTGAGGTTGAGTTGATGTGCAAGGAACTATCATTTTTTTAAAAAAGATCCTTGGTGGGGAACTTGATAGCCCAGATTTTGAATGTGTCAATTTCTCAGACCCAGAATGTGACTGGACACAATTTACTTTTTTTTAATGAACTTATAACCCATGTGAGTACGTACCATTCCAATCCTGATGGTTCCTATATACCTCAGGGTTAGCTATGGGACTTCGGACTTGTGCTGTAGAAAGAAGAAACTATTTGCATTTGAAAAGACCTCTGCTCAAGCAGCAAAGTACAAGAGATTAAACTGCTGTATCACTTTTATCAACACATACGTTGTATCAGGGCTGGCTCCAGGCACCAACTTACCAAGCAGGTGCCTGGGGCAGCAACTTCGGACAGGGGCGGCATGTCCAGCTGTTCGGTGGCAATTCGGCAGACGGTCCCTCACTTTTTGTTTGGCTGCTTGGGGCGGCCAAAACCCTGGAGCCGGCCCTGCGTTGTATCCCCTCCCACAAGGCCCCACCCCGCCTCTTCCCAGCCTCTTTCCAGCCTCTCTCCTGAGCACGCCATGTCCATGCTCTTCTCCCTCCATCCCAGCGCCTCCTGCACACCGCTGAACAGCTGTTCCACAGCATGCAGGAGGCACTGGGAGGGAGGAGGAGGAGTTGATCAGCAGGGGCCACAGGCGGACGCGAGAGGGAGGGAGCACCCGCTAATTTTTTTCCATGGTTGCTCCAGCCCTGGAACATCCACAGAGTCGGCGCCTATGCCTGTATATGATGGAAACCACTTCAAGCCAGGGGGTGCTGCTGCATCCCCAGCACCCCTAGTTCTAGCACCTGTGCCTAAGTGCTTTTCTTTACAGAGGTTAGTTCAGTAGGCTGTCTCTGAACACTAGACCACACTGCCTCTCGGATGGTCCAAGGAGCTAGTAAAATAGTATTTCCCTGTCGTCATTGGCAGTGGTGGTCAGGCACAAGGTTTGTAGGGCTGTGACAAAGTTGGGGCAAGGGACAGTCCTTGAGCCACCAGCAGATACAAAGGAGGAGAATAGAAAGAGCAACCCCCCCAGGATGCCCATGGTGTG